CGGGATTTTTTCCAATTTCCGAATTTCGAAATGTACAAGCTTTGTTTTTTTTGTAGAAAATGTGTGAAAAAAGAAAAAAACTCAAAAACAGACTCCATTAGTTAAACTGAGCGGCCTGCATACCACGGCGCAAATCGAAAATGTAATTTGAAAGCGATTTCATGAAAACGAGGAAGTTCTGTGAAATTTCAAGTAGACATTCGGAATCACAGCAAAAATTAAAAAGTTCAAAGACCGGCAAACCATCAATTAAATTTCAGGCATGATAACCAGTGCTTTGGCGCTTTTCGAACACCGGCATTTTTGTATAGTTCCTCGTGACAGTTGGTTGAGCCTCAATCGGAAGAACCGCTGTATATTTTTCTCATTATTTTTTTTGACGGTGAGCTTCCTGGTCTGGCTGATGCTCCAAACCGCTCCTACGGACCAAGTAGCTGCGAAGCTCGCAACTATACAGGTATTATGGGAAAACATGAAGAAAAATGTTACTTGTTCAAAACGAATGAGATAAATTGAGTGCTTTGCCAAATGAGAATGAAAAGATCATTCTCATCTGGCAAAGCAATATAAAAAAATGACGAAAAAATTATTTGCCTCTCATCGCAGTGAGACTTTTGAACTAGGTTAAGTTTTCAAGCTGAATTTGCTAGAGGCCTCAAAAAGCCATCGAGGCCTGTGAAAACAGCTGGTTAGGCATCGAAATCCGGTTTATTACAATATGTAAAGTAATTTTTTTCAAAACTAAAACGTCCGATATCAATCAACTATTTTTGCAGTATATTGGCTGTATTCCAGAGGGCCTCTTCACGCCACAAGCTTATATCATGCACAATATCTATTGCTTGAGTTGTCTTGGTACACTCATTCTTGTTATCCTTTCAACAGGCGTATTTTTTTGTTATCGAATATGTTATTTCTTGCTAAAATCTCAAAAGAGTATCTCGGCGAGAACGTTCGAGCAGCAGAAAGTCTTTTTCATCTCGCTATGTTGTCAGGTTCAGGTTTTAGAAAAGGTCCAGTGTGGAATGAATTTCAGATTCTCCTACCAGTGGTACTCATAGCTTCTCCTTTCGTGCTATCTCTTGTTCTATGGCTATTCAAGCGATCAGCAGGAAATTTCCTATGTGAAAGAACGGAATGATTCGAGGTTACAAACATCTTTTTTTCAGATGTCGGCGTCATTGGTGTTTTCTTTTTTGGCTTACATGGCATTTTTTCTACTATCGTTTTGTTATTGTCTATAAAACATTATCGTTCTTTTTGTCTTCAATTTCTTCTTCCCAATAAAAAGAAACCGAAATTCCGGGAAAATATCACAAATTTGGCTTCCAGTATGGTCTGGAATAAATAAAATCGTTTTTCTTGAAAAAAAAAAACAAGAAACAGTGAACGTAGAAAAAAATTAAGAAAACTCCAAAAAAATCTTCTGGATTGCTTTGGAAAGTTTTGGCCTTCTTCCACTTCACCTTGAAGCAACTTCTGACATCTTATTCTCCATACAATTATTATCGGTATTGATAATTTCTCTCAATTTGAAACTTTTGCTCTTACATCATCCAAAGGCGAAACCCATTTTCACTGCTTTCTTCTTTGAATATTCCTTCGGAGTTTCCTTCTTGGGACAGACTAACATCCAAATATCCGTTCAATCATCAACTCAATTTATTTAGCTTTGAAAGAGAACTTCTCATCTAAATCTTCAAGACAATTGATATGATTTTTTATTATGTTCTCCTTCATATTTCAGATTGAAGTGATATGGTCGTACCAATGCCGAGTTAACCTTATTTGAAAAAAAAACACAAAAAAGAACCTACTTGACATATTTTGCTCGTCGTTCAATTGGTGCTCATAGTGTCGCCGTTTGTCTTTGCCGCTTTGACAGATTTTTCGCAGAATCTATCTGGAAACTTTTTTAAAAATGAATTCCATTAAACTCGGGTCATTGTCTTCATTTGTATAATTTGACATGGTGCTTCCAAGCTTTTTCCTTTTTAAAACAAGTGAAAGTTTTTCTACAATGGACTTGACTTCTTCCAGTGGTGAAGGCTCAGATTCTCCCAAAATTCAACTTCAACTTTTCTCGTTTTTGATCACGACTATGACAAAAAAAGCTTAAGAAGTCACCTGCCGCTTCATTTTCTCAGATTTTTCCTCCTAACTTTTAGTTTTTTTTTCGATCACTGAGCGTGTCCGCTTAAGTTTCTGTTTGATTAATTTTCGCGCTTGTGAGCCTCATCCGATCTTCAACTCAGAGACTCTTCGAATAGCTTCATTTATCAGTTTCTGTATTTCTTTCACTCTTAATATCGTGACATTCTACTGCATCGTTAAAAAATCTCCGCCAGGCATGCTGAAACAATACAAACGGCTTTTGATCAACTGTCAAGCATGGTAAAAATGTTCAGTTAAAGCATGCTTTCCACATGACTTAATTTTACGATGAAAGGAAAATTTTGTGGGGTGGCTCCATAACTATGTGGATTGGAGAAATACCATCCTCCAAAAAATCAAGATTTTTTTCTGGCGCTAACATTTAAGCGGGAACTTTGAAATAGGTTTGTGTGAAATTTTTCCGGATAAAACAAAAAAACGAATATTTGGAGCTTTGTTAACTAGGTTCATAATCATGTGTTTATTTATGATATCGATCCTGTATTAATAATCCAGTGTGGGGCGCCTATTCCAACGGCTTATTCAGAACTTTCGAACTGCCGATAGAAACTTATGTCCATGGCTGTTGCCCCATGTATTATTTTTTTGAATTATAATTTCTTATCAGAATGAATTCAGGCATCTTCACCAGCGTTATGGCACTTTTTGAGCAAAGGCATTTCTGTACAACACATCGAGAGAGTCGTTTCAATTTCAATCGAAAAAATCGCTATATATTTCTGTTTCTATTTTTTTCCTATCGATAGGAATCCCGCTTTTGATAACGTTTGAAACTATACCTACAGATCAAGCGTCAGCAAAGCTTTTGACTCTACAGGTTTGAAATAAAATTCAAGTTTCCGTTTTTTACTTTTTTTTTTCATTCTTTTCTAGGAACTTCGAATTCAGAATCTCAAAATGTTCAAAAAGATAATGTTTTCACTGAAACTCGGTTGTATCCCAGAAGACATTTTCACTTCGCAACTTGTATCATGGATGATACAATATGTCTGTATTCCATTTATACAGCGCTTCTTATAGCCGGTCTTTGCGGCGGGCTTTTTAGTTTTCGTATCACTTATTTCTTGTTGAAACCTCAAACCACCATCTCGGCAAAAACGTTTGAACAGCAAAAAAAGTTTTTCATCTCACTTTGCTGCCAGGTTCGCCCTTTTTCGCATTTCATACCATTCAATAGACTTCAGATTATCATACCTATTGTATTTATTGCATCACCTTTTGTAGGGGCTAGTGTTATACTTATGCTGAGAGGAACAACGGCGAAGTTCTTTTGTAATTTTATCAATCAATTATGACTACAGAGAGGTTTCTTCCAGATGTCGGCATTATCGGTACTTTTTCTTTCGGTCTACATGGCTTTGTCCAACGGCCGTATTGTTAATTTGTATAAAACACTACCTCAGCTTTTCTTCAATTTTTCTGTAAAAAGACGAGAACTCAAAAGGCTATTACAAAAATAACTAACAGTCAGATCTAGCTTAAAAAATCAAAACGTGCCGCAAGAAAGTTTTAAATAAATTTTTCCTTGTTTATCCACTTTTACGGATCAGCGCCATGAATTTCATAAATATTCAATAAAGCGAGCTTCCGAATCAATGTAGTGATGATATGAAGTTCATTAAGTTTTAGTGCAAACTGAGATGAAGTTTTTGTGAAAGTATTCAAAGCGTGTCATGGAAGAGGGGAGGCTTCACCGCCTCTGTCTATAGTAGGAACTAGACATAAAAAAAATCACCTGCTCTTGCCTTTTCACTTTTCAGAGCTTCAAAAATGGTATCTTCCAATTAGTAAACATGATTACAACTTTCTCATTACCAGCTAGGTTAAAGTTCCTAACTTGAAGCCCTTATTCGAGCACAAATGCTCTTCAAATAAATTCATTAGGTACCCAAAGTGTTCCCACTGAAAAATATTAAAATAAACCCAAAGGAACTCCGCTCTTCCACTGAAGAAAGGGCGCCGTTCGGCGGACTATAACTGTGACAAGAGCAACATTAAGGTACCACCTGCAGAACATTTCGAGTTTGTTCAAATTCTTATGGACTTTCTAGCTTCCTTGTCAAATGAACTTCTCTGATTGCGAGTCTCATCCAATTTTCAACGCGAAAAATATTCGAATCGCCTCTCCTTTGAGTTTCTGTATCTCTCTACCGCTGAATATTCTTGCCTTTTATTGCATTATCAAAAAATCGCCACCAGGAATGCTGAAACACTACAAATGGCTTCTCATCAACTGCCAGGCGTGGTAAAAATTCTGACTCCATTTTTTTAATATTTAAATGACACGGTCATTCTACCTCGTGGTTTGAAGTTTTCCGAAAACGTGCTCAAAAAAATTCTGAAGGTCTCTATGAAAATTCGCAGAGGTTCTACCTGTGCAAACTTTTAGGATCTTATAATTTTCAAAATTTCAACATCGCAAAGTATAATGAATTCCCATCTGAGCATTGCATTACCGCTATATCCGAAAAGATAGCTCAGTTTTTTGTTTGCAGGAGCTGCGCTCTCGATGTTTTGGATACCATTTTATTTCTGCCAATAGCCTACAATCCGACATGGGGTGTTTATTCCAACGGCTTATTTAGATTTTTCCAAGTACCCATAAAAGCTCAATTAGGGATAACCATCGCAATCGTCCCATGTATGGTCCTTTTTCTATGCATCTAACCAGAATAGATTCAGTCCTGTTCACTAGTGTTGTGGCGCTGTTCGAGCATCGTCATTTTTGTATAACACCTCGGGAGAGTTGTTTCAATTTTAGTGGAAAAAGTCGCTATATATTTCTTCTCTTATTTTTGTTATCACTAGTATTCCCACTTTGGATAATGTATGAAACTATGCCTATAGATCAAGCGTCAGCCAAGATTTCGACCATAAAGGTACGTTTCAAACCAGAATCAGGGCGGCTAAAAACGTTGCCTTGTGAGTAAATATCCTTTTTTTCAGAAACTCGGTTGCGTCCCAGAAGACATTTTCACGTCTCAGGCTTTGATCATGGAGGATACGTATGGCTCTTATTCCATTGGAGTAGTGCTTTATTTTTGACCGCTATTTGGAGTGGGTTTTTCTGCTTTCGTATTGGGTACTTTTTTTGTTGCTGAAGAATCAAAGTACCTTTTTCCGCTAAAACTCTTGAACAGCAAAAAGTTATTTCTTTCTTCTCATTGTGCTGTCAGGTTTTTCCTTTCATTTACCAGTTGAAAAAAACTTCATTGAACTTTTAGATCATCTTACCATTGGTTTTTTTATAGCGTCTCCTTTTTGCAATATGCCGGTTTGCTATATTTTTGTCAAAGGAAACAGCTGGAAAAATATTTTTTTGTAAGAGATCAATGAATTCCAACTTTGTAAACTCTCTTTTGAAGATGTCGGCATCTTTGGCACTTTCACTGTTGGTCTACACGGCTTATTTTTCTACCATCGTTCTTTTATTGTCCATCAAACACTACCGTTCATTTCTGCTTTCAAATTTTTCCCTTCGAAAATCGGTTTTACTTTTGATGAATAAGCTCAAAAGTAACAGAAACCTCCAGCTAAAGTTCTTCATCCAATCTTCCTATTTTTTTGTCTTAAATTTCATCTCAATTTTGTTCCATATTCTTTCTAAATTTCATTTTGTGGATTAAGATTTATGAATTGTTTAATGGAAAAAGTCTAATGTTGTTTGATATGAAGATTTTTATTCAACTTCTACGCAATATAATAAAGTGTGAAATGGCATTATAAGTTCCAAGAAGTTGGAAATTGATGCAATTAGTTAGCCCAAAAAAATGTTTTGATAAATTAATTTAATATTTGTTGAACGCTGTTTTATGCCTAAAGATCAAAACCCGACAAAAACTGCTTGCGCATGGTGGCATTCTATACAGTACCGCTCAAAAAGTCTATTAAGTTTTTGGTTTTTGGGGATATCTCAGCGAGTACTTATCCGATTTATATATAACTTTCAGGGATAATGTAAAATATACTTTGAAACATATACGGTATACAAAGACATGTCCGCAATGACTGTGACGCGTTTTAGGCATTTTTTTATTGAATTCCATGTTTTTTTATGCTTTTTATTTTTTTATTTATTTTTTTATTAAATTTTTTTAAAATTAATAATGTTGCCATATGATTTTTTTCATGTTTTCAGACATGGGAAGAACCTTTTGGAAATAAGAATTTGATTGATAACGACAAAAGAGCCATCGTTGTGGGTCGTCAAAATGGACTGACCATGATGACGTCGGTAGGGATGTTCGGCGTGACAGAGGCGTGCATTTCTCAGTTCCTAAAGCGTCAGAAAGCTCAAGATGGCTCTACTAACAGCCAGCGCACTGGAAGACCACGTGTCACTGATCGTAATGACGATAGGAACATTTTGAAGACGTCTAGAACCAATCCAAGACTCACCGCCCCTGCGATCAGACGGGAAGTTTTTCTTGAATTCGCCATCTCCGCCATCCGTCTCGACCGTGAAACGACGTCTGAATGCTGCTGGAATCATGGGAAGACGTCCAGTGAAGAAACCGCTGATTTCTGAAAAGAATCGAGCCGCCAGGGTGAAGTGGGCGAAGGAGCATCTCAACTGGACCCGTCAAGACTGGAACAAGATTCTGTGGTCCGACGAAAGCAAGTTCCTCCTCTTCGGGAGTGACGGAATTCAGTGGGTTCGTAGACCAATTGGGTCCAGATATCATCCGAAATACCAATTACCCACCGTGAAACATGGTGGAGGTTCTTGCATGGTGTGGGGCGCCTTCTCTGGAAGTGGCATCGGACCGCTTCATCGCGTGAACGGCATCATGGACAAGCACGTCTACAAAGACATTCTCCAGAACCAGATGTTGCCGCACTTGAGGCCATGGGCCGTGGGAGTGTTTATCAACAGGATAACGATCCCCAAGCACACTTCACTGTCTCGTCAAGGTGAGAAAAATTGACAAAGTAATTCGTATGGTTTTGAAACTCAGGACTGGTTCAAGAGCCGTCGGGTCAATGTCATGGGGTGGCCAAGTCAATCTCCGGACCTGAACCCGATCGAACATCTCTAGGAAGAGTTGGAGCGACGTTGTGCCAACAAAGAGCCAAGAATTGCAACGAGAAGTTTGCTCAACTGCTGTCTGAATGGAATCAGATCCCCATGTCTACCATCGACACTTTGCTCAATTCTATGCAGAGAAGATGCCAGGCAGTGATTGACGCCAGGGGCTTCGCAACCAAGTACTAGGTCCCGAATATTGTTTTAACAATGTTTTTGTGTTGATAAAAATCTTGAGCTATGATTTTTTTAATTGAAAATAGCAAAAATTCGATTTTTTCGAAAATTCGTTTTTTCTCGAAAAATTATTATTCTTTGAGCTAGCAACTTGAAATTTTTGCCAGAACACGTACAGTACCGCTCAAAAGTCTATTAAGTTTTTGGTTTTTGGGGATAAATGAAGTGCGATATCGATTCAAATCATAGTTTTTCTGAGAGAGACATACGTGTTTCTTTTGCTATTTTCAATTAAAAATCATAGCTCAAGATTTTTTTATCAACACAAAACATTGTTAAAACAATATTCGGGACCTAGTACTTGGTTGCGAAGCCCCTGGCGTCAATCACTGCCTGGCATCTTCTGCATAGAATTGAGCAAAGTGTCGATGGTAGACATGGGGATCTGATTCCATTCAGACAGCAGTTGAGCAAACTTCTCGTTGCAATTCTTGGCTCTTTTGTTGGCACAACGTCGCTCCAACTCTTCCCAGAGATGTTCGATCGGGTTCAGGTCCGGAGATTGACTTGGCACCCCATGACATTGACCCTGACGGCTCTGAACCAGTCCTGAGTTTCAAAACCATACGAGTACTTGTCAATTTTTCACCTTGACGAACAGTGAAGTGTGCTTGGGATCGTTATCCTGTTGATAAACACTCCCACGGCCCATGGCTCTCAAGTGCGGCAACATCTGGTTCTGGAGAATGTCTTTTGTAGACGTGCTTGTCCATGATGCCGTTCACGCGATGAAGCGGTCCGATGCCACTTCCAGAGAAGGCGCCCCACACCATGCAAGAACCTCCACCATGTTTCACGGTGGGTAATTGGTATTTCGGATGATATCTGGACCCAATTGGTCTACGAACCCACTGAATTCCGTCACTCCGAAGAGGAGGAACTTGCTTTCGTCGGACCACAGAATCTTGTTCCAGTCTTGACGGGTCCAGTTGAGATGCTCCTTCGCCCACTTCACCCTGGCGGCTCGATTCTTTTCAGAAATCAGCGGTTTCTTCACTGGACGTCTTCCCATGATTCCAGCAGCATTCAGACGTCGTTTCACGGTCGAGACGGATGGCGGAGATGGCGAATTCAAGAAAACTTCCCGTCTGATCGCAGGGGCGGTGAGTCTTGGATTGGTTCTAGACGTCTTCAAAATGTTCCTATCGTCATTACGATCAGTGACACGTGGTCTTCCAGTGCATTGGCTGTTAGTAGAGCCATCTTGAGCTTTCTGACGCTTTTAGGAACTGAGAAATGCCCGCCTTTGTCACGCCGAACATTCCCTGCCAACGTCATCATGGTCAGTCCATTTTGACGACCCACAACGATGGCTCTTTTGTCGTTATCAATCAAATTCTTATTTCCAAAGGTTCTTCCCATGTCTGAAAACATGAAAAAAATCATATGGCAACATTATTAATTTTAAAAAATTTAATAAAAATAAATAAAAAAATAAAAAGCATAAAAAACAAAAAAAATGGAATTCAATAAAAAATGCCTAAAACGCGTCACAGTCATTGGTGACATGTCTTTGTATACCGTATATGTTTCAAAGTATATTTTTACATTATCCCTGAAAGTTATATATAAATCGGATAAGTACTCGCTGAGATATCCCCAAAAAACCAAAACTTAATAGACTTTTGAGCGGTACTGTAAGTTCCAGTGGAAGGCCCATGTGGAAAACCTGTTTCCAGGCATGATAAATGATAACCAGCGTGACTGCCCTTTTCGAGCACAGACACTTTTGTGTTACCCCAGGAAACAGTTGGTTGTGTTTCGACGAGAAGAAACGATTTATTTGTCTCTCCTTTTACTGTCTGGCGTTAGGAACCTTATTTTGGTCTCTTTATGACAGTATTATTGTGGACCAGACTACTGCAAAGCTTCTGGCAGTTCAGGTGGTGCAAAAATACGTTTCCATTCTTGTGAAAATCCTTTTGTTTTTCAGAATTCTGCGTTAAGATTAGAAAAACGGCCTTAACTTTTAATGAAAGAAAATTGATCATTTTTCATTGGGATTACGAAGCAAAGTTATACGATTCAAAATGCGAAAAGATCTTTTAAAGGCAACTCTTAGTACAACAGTCTGAGAGAACAAAAATTCATTTTTCGTTTCGTTTACAGAAACTCGGGTGCATCCCAGAAGATATTTTCACACCTCACGCCTGCATCTTGTGCCTTAACAATTCCTGCTATGCCATCTTCAATATAATTGTTCTTTTTACGGGCCTATTCGTCTCTTTTTTTAGCGCTAGAATTTCCTATTTCCTTTTGAAACCCCAAAATAATACCTCTCCAAAAACGCGCGAACAACAAAAAGTGTTCTTCATCTCGCTCTGTTGTCAGGTTTGAAGAAAAATTTAAATTTCTGAATGATCCGAATTCAGATCGCCGTACCTTCGATACTCATACTCTTTCCTTTCGTTCTTGCTAACATTGTGACTAAACTCAGGCACTCAACGGAAAACGCCCTATGTGAGTGGAAGTGTCGTTTCTTTTGAGTTTGCAGTTCATAGGGGCTACATTTTTGAAAAATAACTTCGGATTTTTCTCGAATAAGAAGAGTTGAAAAAGAAAAAGTTTGGCTGCAAAAAGCTTCGAATTTCAGATGTTGGCGTCATTGGAACCTTCTTTTTCGGCCTCCATGGCTTATTTTTCCACCCTGGTACTATTATTATCAATCAAACCTTATCGTTTATTTTGCCTACGGGCATTTTTCGAAATCTTAAAAATTCTCACGGAAAGACATAAAAATTCGCGCCTTATTATTTTATTTGAAACTTTCTTGGTTTTGGTGGCATAGCAAGAATTGTTCAGCAAGTTCTATTGGTTCCAATAAACTTTCTGAAAAAGTAGGTCTACTGTAATAAAAACTTTCTAATAGCACCTGCCCCAACCTTCTTCCTTATTTATAACTTCCGCTCTCTTTATGTAATAATTTATCCACATGGATACTCCTAATTGTGAGCCTCATTATATTTTCAATGCGAAAAATCTACAAATTGCGGCGCCTCTCAGCTTCTGTATCACTTTACCGCTGAATATTCTCGCCTTTTATTGCATCATCAAAATATCACCACCAAGTATGTTGAAACAGTACAAGTGGCTGTTGTTCAACTGCCAATTTTGGTGAGCTACATCATTATTCAAAATTTCAATTTATACTAATCAATTGTTTCAGGAGCTTCGTTGTCGATATTGTAGTGGATGTTTTATTTTTTTGCCTATACCGTACACTCCGCTATGGGGCTTTCACACGATCGGCTTGTTCAGAGCCATTGAAATGCCCTTTAAAGCTCAAATTGGAATTTGCCTCGCTATCGCTCCTTGTACAGTCCTTTCATCAAAAATACCGTATATGATAGAATCTTTCAGGCATGATAACTAGCGTGACTGCGCTTTTCGAGCACAGAAACTTTTGTGTGACAACTCGAGACAGTTGGTTTTCTTTTAATGAGAAAAAACGCTTTATCTTTCTATTTCTGCACTGGCTAACGTTAGGGTCGCTGTTTTGGTTTCTTTATCACAATATCATCGCGAACCAAGATACCGCTAAACGAGACGCAGTACAGGTAGAGCAAATATTTTTTCTTTTTCTGAAAACTCTACTTCACTCGTAACCCATTAAAAACGAAAAAAAAATTTTTTTCAAAAACATAACTGGCCAAAACGCGACCGCAACGCAATAAATCATTCTGTAGGAAAAATTTTAAAAAATAGATAACTTTTTTAAAGATTTTTTTACAGAAACTCGGTTGTATCCCAGAAGATATCTTCACACCTCATGCCTGAATATTAGATCTGGATTATTTCTGGAAGGTCATCTACAAAATAATCATTTGCTTCACCAGCTTCTTCGTTTTATTTTTTGGCGCTAGAATCGCCTACTTTTTGTTGAAAACACAAAATCACATTTCTGCAAAAACGCGTCAACAACAGAAGACATTCTTCATATCGCTTTGTTGCCAGGTTGCTTCTTAGTAGACTAGTTTGCCAGATTATTGATAAACTCAGATCGCCATACCGTTCATACTAATAATATGCCCTTCGGTTTTCCTATACATTTTGAAAATGTTCAAGAAGACAACAGAAAATGTTCTTTGTGAGTGGTCCTTACTCTATCTTGAGCTCAACTTTTCTCAATTAATATTTGGCTTTAAAATACATAGCTCTACATTTCGATTTTCAGATATCGGAGTCGTTGGAACTTTCTTTTTCGGCCTTCATGGCTTTTTTTCTACCGTCGTTCTATTGCTCACCATAAAACCATACCGTTCATTTTGCTTGAGGCCATTTCCAAATAAATAAGATATTTTGGACAGAAACATGAGAGCAAGTTTCATTGGAACAACTGAAATTTTGCAAAAAGGGACGGGCTTTTCAACAATAAAAAAGGAGTTCTGCTCTTAATGCACCTGCCTCAATCTTTTCACTATTTTATAGCTTCCGTTAGTTTAACTCAACAGTATAATAAAATGAATACTTCCAATTGTGAGCCTCATTCTTTTTTCAATGCTAAAACTCTTCAAATCGCTGCACCTTCCAGCTTCATCATCACTTTACCACTGAATATCGTTGCACTTTATTGTATTGTTAGAAAATCCCCGCCAAGCATGCTGAAACAATACAAATGGCTCCTGCTCAACTGCCAAATTTGGTAAACTACAGACTCATTCGAAATTATTTTTCTTCTCAGAGGAAAAACCGAAAGAACGATTAAAAAAATTATTAAAAATAGCTCTTAGTAGTCAAATCTCATCTCAATTACGCGGCATTGGGGAAAAATAATTAATTTTGCTCCCCGTCGAAAAATGGAAACGGTTTTACCCTTGAAGCATTTTCTAGGAGCTTCATTGTCGATATTCTAGTGAATATTTTTATTTCTACCTGTGCCTTACACTCCATTATGGGGCGGTTACACAAACGGCTTATTCAGAATTGTCCGATTGGCTACAGAAGATCAAATC